CAAAAAGAAAATTTTTAAGAGTAAATATCGCCAAAACATGCTTTCTAAATCCATATTGGAAGAGTTTTTTAAAGAAAGAAATTGCCAAAACATTTTAAAGAAAGGAAACAAAAAGCAAAAGCAAAAAATGGATTAATAAAAAATATTAAAAAAAAATGCCAAAAATGCCAAATAAATTTAAAGAATGAAACAACCAAAAAAAGCCAAAATGTTTCATGAAAAAATGCTTGAAAAATGATTGCAAAAAATTAATAAAATAAAATTGTAAAAAAAAAAAAAAAATCTAATCGCTAAAAAATTGTAAAGTAAATATCCCCAAAAAACCTGCTGTTGACAGTACCTGTAGTTAACATTAGCTGTATTTAGACTTGTTTATCAGGACATGCAGAGGCTCTCCTCTTAAAAACCATCGTCTCGCGATAAACACTTTTTTACACGTCTTCAATAGAAAAAACGTTCCATACAGTATAATGTTCAATAATGTTACTGTATTCTGTCAGGAAAAAACATGAAAGCCGCGCAAGTTATCCTCAGCGTCGGGCTGTGCAAGGTTGGTTGCATGAACACACTCACTTGCTCCCTGGTAACCTAGCAACGGTGTCATGCAAACAGCTAACAACGGCAGGTTTGGTTGTGCCATCCTCATATGTGACCACAACCAGGGTTGCCAGGTCTGCTTGTAAGCCGCGACTTTGGGCTTGTTTTTTTGTAAAGTTGCTTACAAATATTGGTAGTTGCGGTTTTTGGGGTTTGTTTCTAAAGTGCAGTTGCTTATTATGGCTTGCTATAATTATATATTATTATTGTCTAATGAGTTATTTAAACTCTTGATATTGGGTTGGACTGCAGGATGTTTCCACAGCTCCGCTCCCTCCGCCCCTCTCCTTCTCCGCATACACACAGAAGGTCAGTCAAAGATTTGTAGAAAGAGAGGATTAAAAGATTTGACTTCAAGGGGGGGACGATTAAAAGGCAGACTCTGTGTGAAATATGTACTCATCATTCAGCACTGTTACAGTGAAAGTAAAATGGCTCCTTATATGCAACGTCTTTACTTTCATTTTCATTCATTCATTTATTCTTTCCACGTTTTTGGTCGGCTAGTTGGTTTGGTAGAGTTCAAGGGCAGTAAATATAATGTATTTGTAAAGTCATTTTGGTTGCTGGTCCTGCTTGTTTCTCTCCCAAGATCTGGCAACACTGAACACAACACAGCGTGGAATGAGCAGCAAGAATGAGTGTGGATAGCAAGGAAATAGTTGAATAGTAGTTTTTATACCATCTTGTGTATGTTCATTTATCTGAGTGTTTTCTAATGGTTGTGTTGACATTACATTTTCCTCCATGTGCCTTGACTGATGACTGTGACTGAAATCAGAAGAAAGCTACTGAGCTTAAAATTAATGTGTTAAAATGTATTTATTTTCTCCTGGTCCTTATTTTAAATAGGTAAAAAATTATCGATAATTATTGTTATTGATCAATATGAACCAGCTATAGCGTGATATACTTTTCAGCCATACACCCACCCCTACTTAGCAATAAACAAAAAACAGATTCTGAATCAAAAAACGAGTTTTGATTGAATAATTTTTATTTTGGTTACACACATTTTAAGAAACAAAAATTATTTTACACAAAGTTTCTCAAAGTCAATAAACAAAAATAAGTGTAGACTGTATTGATATGGTTTTCACACATCGACGACTATATACAGGGGCACAGCAACAAATTCTGTGCCCTGTGTGTAAACACTCTCTGTGGGCCCCCCCGCCCACCCTTTCTTGATCCATGTCGTTTTGGAGCCCCAGTTTCCGTTTTTTTGGATAAAGACAGTCAGTCTTCGTTGGTGCAGGGGCAGACTAAACCATGTTGCGCCTTTAAGGGGGGAGGGGAAGGTTAATTCTTTATACTGATTTATTCAGCCAATTTTTATTCAATTGTGGTATTAATTACTTTGAACTAAAAAACTGCCATCAAAGCCCTCCAGAGCCCTGAGAACCCTCTAAAACCCTGAGGACCCCCAGAGCCCTGAGAACCCTCCAAAACCCTGAGGACCCTCCAAAACCCTGAGGACCCTCCAAATACTCATAAGGATAATATAAACTGCACCCAGTGGGGAAGTGTAACTAAATACATGTATTCAGGTACTGTACGTACTTTTCCTCTCATGCTATTTTCTACTTCTACTCCACTACATTTATCTAACAGCTTTAATTAATAGTTACTTTAGAAATTCAGACTTTTGCACACAAAAACATGAAAATGTACAAGTACAGCTGGAGCTATTGCACAATTAATAAACTGACAGAAAATGTATTGCCATTCGGTTTATCTGAAGCCGGGTCTCAGGGGCAGCAGGCCAAATAAAGCAGCCCAGACATTCCTCTCCCCAGCAACGCTTTCCAGCTCCTCCTGGAGGACCCCGAGGTGTTCCCAGACCAGATGAGATATATAATCCCTCCAGTGTGTTCTGGGTCTGCCCCGGGGCCTCCTACCAGCTGGACCAGGAGGACCCTGATCAGATATTGAACCACCTTAACATGAAGGAGCAGCGGCTCTACTCCGAGCTCCCTCCAGATGTCTGACTCCTCCCCCTACCTCTAACTCATTTCAGACACTTGTATCTGTGATCTCATTCTTTCAGTCACTACCCAGAGCTCATGACCATAGGTGAGGGTTGGGACGGAGATGGACCAGTAAATGGAAAGCTTCGTCTTCTGGCTCAATTCCCTCTTCACCACGATGCAGTGATGCGGATACTGTGCTGGACCATCGTACTGGTGAAGTATTCGAATGCTCAGGTGTGTGGTGAGATGCACTGTCCTGCTGGGGGAGGGCCACTGCCATGGAAAGTGCCATTTAGGAATGATCCGAGGAACATGAGAAATAGCTCAAGCCTTTGGCCAAATACCCCAGATCCCAATCTGACTGAGCATCCGTGGGACTTGTTGGTACCCCACCACACAACCAACAGGACCCAAAGGATCCGCTGTCAGACACCACCAGACACCCCCCAGAGGACCTGTATCCATGACTCAACAGGTCAGAGACAAGTCTGATCCTAAGAGGCTCCTCTGTGGATCGGGGGTACCTCTTGGGTACTGGTATGTCCCATGAATACTCTATCAGATCAAGATCTGCAGAATTTGGAGGACAGACCTTGAGCTCTCTGTCACATTCCTCAGGTCATTCCCCAGCAGGTTTTGTGTTGCATGGTGCAGTACCCTGCTGTGGGGTCCACTGTTGTCAAGGAGTGCCATTGCCGAAAGGTGGGGTACTTGATCTGCAATGATATCAGTTATTGTTGGACAAGGACATTTCAACTTATAGTTTTGTGACTCTGCCTTGCTCTAATCTAACATCAGGGGTACCCCGTGGTAGATCCAGAACACACTAAAGGGATCATCTGGCCTGGGAATGCCTCAGGAGGAGCTGGAAAGTGTTGCTGGTGAGAGGGACGTCTGGGATGCTTTGCTCAGCCTGCTGCCCCCGAGACCCGGCCCCGGTTAAGCGGTTGAAAATGAATGGATGGATTTGAATATTGATGTGGACATCAATTACCATGACAACAATCTAAGCTTTGAAGCATTTGGGTCAATCACAGTCAGTCTCTTGGTTGGATGATCCACAGAACTCACAACACAATCATACATCCTTATATACAAGACTCCTCGATAGGACCAAGCCTCTATTTGAACAGTCCAGAGACAGTGTCCCAGTGGTCTTCCAGGATCTTATCAAAGTCTTTTTTAAGAGGCAGGCTGCCCATTCCAAGTCCAGGTCTTCCTCCAGCCATGAATCCCTACAGAAGCAGGATGTTTTATGCTCCTTCCAATGTCCACAGGCAGTCAACAGTGACTCCAACGCTCCGTTCTGGTTTCAGGTCCAGCAGGAACAACAAAGAACTCTGACATAAGGGAAACTATCAAACTTCCGACTGGTGTTTTAACAGCTGGACAGTCCCCAAGCAGGTGGAGTAATGACCCTCAACTGTAACAACTGTTCCAGCAGAAATCTTGACGTTTGTCATCCATCTTGGATAATTTGAGGGGACAACGCGCTATCCATTTGAATGCAATATATATTATTTCAACGTTAGATGGGAGAAATTCCTACACACTGTGGCTTTAAAGGACGGGGCCTTTCTGAAAAGTTCCCAGATTTACATCTATTTAGAACTATTTAAAACTTCATTGTCGTCACGTTTGAGGACACTGAATCCCAGATTGCTAGGAGAAATTAGAAACTGTAACCAAACAAAAGTTCGGGGCTCAGGAAGATATTGAGTTCATGCTCCTGAGCCCTAGACATTACGTTACAGATATTTCGACCACACCTCCTGACAACGTTGCCATCTTTAAAATCTTATCCCACTCCGAGCATGAGGCAGGTCTACATCATTAATTCTTAATCATAAATGTGACTTCCTGGCTGGTTCTGGTCCTTCAAAGTCCTACATCAGCTGCAGTAATGGTTTCTCCTCAATGTAGGTTCTCATTATGGCTGAAAAAAAAAAAAACTAGGTACGACACATCAATATGTTTTTATCCAATATATAGATCTAGACAACACTGTCTATATTGACATAGGATCAAGTTGCCTTACAAAACACCTGCTGCACCATTTTATTGTTGCCAGGCAACCACCCCATCACCTCCTTAAGCTAACCTTCCTGTTTAATCAGTCTACCATTAATTTTATTGTATTTATTCTCCAGTAATAAGTGTGTAGTTGCTGCCATGTTGAGGCAGAGGGTACTGTGTGTAGCTCTGGTTGAGGGTGAGAGGCTGTCAGCAGATAAACAGAGATCTGTGTGGGTACATGAGACCCTAAAAAAGAGGCTGGATCATGGGGAGTACCACCAGTTGGTCCAGGAGCTTCTCCTCCATCATGGACGTTTACAGTACTGCACTTATCTGCTGTTTTCTATTCAGATGGTGCTAACTGTGTTTTGTAAAGTCGTATAGCTCTGGGTATCCAGCAACCACTACCACCAGTTTCTCCTCCATTGTTTACCAACTGTACACTTGTTGTTGTGACCACCACAGAAGCCCCGCCTCTCACATCATCCCACTGGACAATGGAGGAAAAGATTACGAAAAAAGAGATGACATGGGGCACTTTTCTGCTCTGAGCTTAAGTTTTTTCAACTCAAGGAGTTCAGAGCACTCGGGCAAAAATGCCAGGCGCTTATCGTGCAGAAATGCAAGGCGTATCGCAACACAAAAACAGATTTCTGTTTCCATTGTCAGATAAGACACACTGTGCCACACCAAGATGTTCTTTTGGACCTTCTCTGGAGTAGGTCCAAAAGTCTGGCTGCCCCCCCTCAGCGGGTAGTGGTAACATCTCGCTGACCGCAGTAACACCCAATGACCCCCCTTCTAAAACAAGTTGTGTGTGTTGCAAGACTCTACTGACATCTGTCTGCAGGAGACCAAAAGGCATATTTAAAGTTTTAAAGAGGACTAAAAAAAAGTTTCTCACCTAGATATCGGCTTTATTTTACCATCTCATTAAGTTTATTGTGAAGGATTCATTCATTCATTGTCCATAACCACTTATCCTGTTTGGGTTTGCGGGATGGCTGTACCTACCTCAGATGACATTGAGCACGAAGCAGGGACAACCATTCACACTCACATTCACACCTACGGACAATTTAGAATCACCAATTAACCTGCATGTCTTTGGACTGTAGAAGGAAGCTGGAGCACCTGGAGAAAACCCACGCTGACACAGGGAGAACAGCAAAGTCTACACAGAAGAGCTCGAACTAGGAACCCTCTTGCTGTGAGGCTACTATACTACCCACTACACCATCGTGCCGAAAAATAAACGTGTTTATCACTGAATTATCAGAACTTCGTTTTTCACCAGTAAAGGAGAGTCGAATGACACTGCAGTGAAAACCTGATCTCACTCTGAGCATGAGGCCGGTCTGCGTCATTAATTCTTAATCCTAAATGTGAGTTCCTGGCTGACTATGGTCCTTCAAAGTCCTCTGCCAGCTGCATCAATAGTTTCTCTTGAATCACTGACGGGGGCTTAGTTTGTCAGAGACTCTAAACCTGACTGAGGTTCTCTGGTCTCCCTCCAATCACCACTGTCGTCAGTCTCAACTTCAGAACAGTCTCCGGTCTCAACATCAGGAACTGGTTTTAAATGTAGCTCTGTGTTCCTGGCTGGTTCTGGGCCTCCCCAGTCCTCTCCATCAGCTTCTTGTTTTATGTGTAATGTTGAGCTGCTGGCCGCAGACTCCGCCTCTCTGATCTCTACTGACGCTTGATGCCCAACGCACTGATGGGTCCTGAGAAGTTTATATGAAGTGAATCTCTGGTCGCAGACTCTGCAGCTGAATGGTCTCTCTGCTGTGTGGGTTCTCATGTGCGTGGACAAACTCGCACTCTGTGCAAATGCTTTTTGGCACACGGAGCAGCTGAATGGTTTCTCTCCCGTGTGAATCCTCACATGACTCTTCAGATTTCCTCTTTCACTGAAACCTTTGCCACAGAAAGAGCAGCTGAACGGTTTCTCTCCGGTGTGAGTGGTCATGTGTCGTATCAAATACGCCTTGCACAGAAATTTTTTATCGCACATCGAGCAGCTGAAAGGCTCCTCCCCTGTATGGGTCTTAATGTGGAACTTCAGCTTCGCGTTGTCGCTGAAAGCTCTGCTGCACACAGAACAGCTAAACGGCTTCTCTCCTGTGTGAGTCGCCATGTGCCGAATCAGATACGTCTTACATAAAAATCTTCTTTCACACACTGAGCAGCTGAACGGTTTCTCTCCCGTGTGGGTTTTCATGTGTAACTTCAGTTTCCCGTTTTCGCTGTACGCTTTGTGACACACAGAGCAAGTAAAAGGTTTCTCCCCTGTGTGAACAGTCATGTGTCTGTTCAGGTGCGACTTACACAAGAATCTTTTGTTACACACCGAGCAACTGAATGGTTTCTCTCCTGAGTGGATTTTCATGTGTGTCTTCAGATATGCCTTACACAAAAATTTCTTACTACACACTGAGCAGTTGTATGGTTTCTTTCCCGTGTGAATCCTCATGTGCACCTTCAGCGTCCCGCCATCGCTAAAAGCTTTCCCGCACACGGAGCAGCTGAACGGTTTTGTTTCAGCATGACTTTTCATGTGGACCTTCAGTGTTCCGCTCTCACTGAAAGCTTTATCACACATGGAGCAGCTGAACGGTTTCTCCCCTGTGTGGATCGTCATGTGTCTCTGCAAATGCGGCCGACACAAAAATCCTTTATCACACATGGAGCAGTTAAATGGTTTCTCTCCTGTGTGAGTCGTCATGTGTCTCTTCAGATAAGGCTTGCGCAAAAAATTTTTCCCACAGACGGAGCAGTTGAATGGTTTTTTAACCACGTGAGTGTTGATATGTATCTTCAGTCTCCCACTGTCGCTGAAGGATTTACCACAAACTGAGCAGCTGAACGGTTTCTCTCCTGTGTGAGAGCCCATGTGTCGGTTCAGGTGCCACTTGAAGCCGTATCTTTTCCCGCACTCAGAGCAGCTGAAGGGTTTCTCATCCGCATCACATTTCGAATCACCAACAGGGACGTCATTGTTTTCCAGAGTGTCCAGACCAGACTGAGGTTCTCTTGTCTCTTTCCAATCATCAACACTGACTTCAATCTCGGCGACTAAAGAATCATCAGGCTTCTCATCCTCAATATCTGGTTCTAAATATGGATCTGAGTCCTCGTCTAGTCCTGGTCCTGGTCCTGGTCCTCCACAGTGGTGTCCCTCAGACTGAGGTTTCTCTTCATCATCTTCACTCTTCACAGGGACAGGAGTGAATGTGAACTTGGTGATATCAGCCTCCTCCAGCCCTTGAAGCTGCTCTCCCTCCTGACTGCTCCACAGTTCCTCCTCTTCCTCTTTAATGTGTGGGGGCTCTGGGTCCTCCTGGTCCACACTGGAGCTCCACTCCTGCTGCTCAGGGGGAACCTCTTCTTTAACCACCAACAGCTGCTGCTGGACCTCTGCACCAAACAGGAAACAGGAAACAAATTGAACTATGATTTCATGAACTTATTTTTTTATTTTATTTTTTGATATTTTATCAACATTTTTTGGACTTAAAAAAAATGTTTTGGACATTTCATGAACAGTTTTTCAAAATTTTTAAAAACAATTTATCTCACAATTTAATATTATCTACTACATTCTACACGTTTTAACATTTTATTGGACACATAAAATGTCATTTGACATTTTATCAGACAATTGTATATGTTTTTTTAGACCTTTTATCAACATATTTTTGGACTGAAATTTCATCATCAATCAATCATTTTTCAGACATTGTATTAATATTTTTCTGACATTTTAATCAACATTTTTTCTGACATTTTTTTTGGATATTATATCAACAATATATATATATTTAAACCAGACTAGTCAGACAAGCACGAACTGATGAAGCCTCTTGGATAAGAGGTGAAACGTCTTGGAAGACAGAACCAAGTCCTGTTGCATTTGATTCAATTGCCTTGAGATAACTATGACCTGGATAAATGAGAATATCCACAGGCATATTTTTTAAACATTTTATCAACATATTTTTGGGCTGAAATTCTGACATTTCATTAACATTTTTTCAGACACTTACATAATGTTTTTCAGACATTTTAAACTTTTTTGGACTTTTTAAAACATTTCAGATACTATTAATATTCGGCAGTGGCTCAGTCCATAGGGACTTGGGTTGGGAACCGGAGGGCAGAGGGGGCTTTCATGCTGTCACACACCTGGGATTCAAAGAACAAAGAACCCCGGGCGGCGGGGGGTGTGACCAGCCTGGCAATCCGATTTGCCAGGCTGGTCACACCTCCGGGATACTACCAGCTAATAAAGACACGTCATGACTCACGTCAGATGACACTTCTGAAGAAGACTGCAGTGACAATCGAAACATGTCAAGGTAAACTACATCTCCTTAAAATCTTTTATTTGTTATCCTACACATTGTATTATTATTTTTCAGCATTTTTATCAACATTTTTTTTTAAGTTTTAAATATTTTTCGGACATTTTATTACCGTTTCTTTGGGCATTGTTATAATATTATTTCTACTTTTAGATATTTTATCAACATGTTTTTGGACGTTTCAATTTTTTTGGACATTTTATATACATTTTTGGGGACATCTTTTTTTTATGATTTTGGCACAGTTTGTCAACATTATTTCAGAATTTTATCAAACAAATTCATATTATTTTTCAAACATTTTACCAATATTTTTTTTTACTTTTTAATTTTTATTTTTTTTAAAGACATTTCATTAACATTTTGTCTTACTTTTTTTAATAATGTTTTTCATAGATGTTATCAACATTTTTTCGGACATTTTGATAATTTTTTAGAGGATCATTAATGTGCACATTCAGCACATCCAATGCATCAAAACATTGTTTTCTAGTTGGAGCCGCGCCTCGTTTTCAAACTGTATGGTTTGACTAAAATGAACAATGACAGCAATATAGTCCACGATGAGCAGCGCTAAAATCAACCTGCGTAGTTGTCCCTCCATTGTGACATTAGAAAGTGTCACATTTATCTTGCAAGTGTACTCTTC